ATATATTTAGTTAGCAGATAGTTGTGCTTCAGGTAGCAAATGGGTGGCAGATAAAGAGAAGCTCTATCTCTTGACTTTGAAACCTTATACATTCAAGGTGCAAATATTGAAAAAAATCTGTTATCAATGACTCATACACTGATAAACTCACCTTCAAAAAGGGAAATCAACTGGGTGTGGTGCTTCAGGCCTGTAATCCCAGCACCTAGGAGGCCAACGCAGGAGGATCGCTTGATCCCAGGAGTTCACGAACAGCCCAGGCAGTATAAAGAAACCCCTATCTTCACACACAAAAATAATAAAAATGATGCGATGATCTGTGCAGCAAACAACCACGTTTGTTACGTATGTAACAGACCTGCACATCCTGCACCTGTACCCCTGAACTTACGATAGAAGTTGAACAAAAGACAAGTTTTAAATAATAGAAATTAGCTTGGTGTGGTGGTGTGTGCCTGTGATCCTAGCTACTCGGGAGGCTGAGGTGGGAGGATTGCTTGAGCCTGGGAGATCAAAGCTGCAGTAAGCCATGACTGGACCACTGCACTCCAGTCTGGGTAACAGAGCAACACCCTGTCTCAGTTAAAAAAAACAAAAAGGTAAGTCATGTGATGTCTGGGATATGAGTAGATTAGACTGGATGAGAAATGTGGCCATATTCCGTATTCAATGAACACAAAAGGGAAATGAATGAGTAGAGGCCTTTGAAAATCTCAGCTACTTTAACTTGTTAAACACAAGCGGCTTTTTTCCTCTAGCACCTTTTGTTTTCTTTTTTTTTGAGATGGAGTTTCACTCTTGTTGCCCAGGCTGGAGTGCAATGGCGTGATCTCGGCTCACCGCAACCTCCACCTCCTGGGTTCAAGCGATTGTCCTGCCTCAGCCTTCCAAGTAGCTGGGATTACAGGCATGCGCCACCACGCCCGTAGAGACGGGGTTTCTCCAAGTTGATCATGCTGGTCTCGAACTCCCGAACTCAGGTGATCCACCCGCATCGGCCTCCCAAAGTGCTGGGATTATAGGCGTGAACCACTACGCCCGGCGCCTGTAGCACCTTTTCGCTAAAAATTCTAGAGAGTTAATTTAGGTAGAATAAGGATGCTGCTAGAAGGAGAAAAGTAGTGGAGATGTTTTTTTCGTGATTCATGGTTTTGGTAAATACTTACCCAATATAAAGTTCTTTACTAAGTCTTCAGCTTATAAACCTGCTAAAAGTCTGACGGCTTAGAAATGGCAATAGATACCTAAAATATATTTTTATTTGCATTGAGTCCTTGGCACATACAAAATGGCAGCTGTGTTCATGTGTGCAGAGAACATGTTTTGCTCAGCTCAAAGCAGCAGAATGTGCCTATTATCGCTACACCCTCCTCCCCAACTGGATGGATAATGAGCACTTTCTATGCCCAGGCAAGTTCTAAAGTTTTCTCCTTGCCAGGGTGAAAAGGGTGTGTCTCAGCGTACCTATAGGCTTGAATGAGAAAGAGCAAAGAAGAGTAAAAATGCCTTTGCTGGGGGCTGTGCTGGAGCCCACCTTTGAGAATGAGAGAAGCAAGAAATGGTGCCTCTTTCCTTCCAATCCTCTTTTCCTGTCCCCTTTTCGCCTTCCTTACATTGCATCCTTCTTAATCAAGGGGTACAAGGGAGTACACAGTGATAACTGAAACTTCCTCTCATCTCTGATTATTGCGTTCCTTTTCCTGGAGATAATAGTTACCTGTTTCCCCTGAAATTTTCCAGAGATAGTCCGTGCATGTAGATGATTTCTGCTTCTTATGCAGGTGATAGTAGTCTATACGTATTGTTCTGCATTTTGCTTTTCTCCCTTGAAAATATCTAGATGATTGTAGGAAACATCAGTCATATTCATGGCTGCCCATCATCCTTGGAATGTCCTCCTAAATATTTGTGGAAATCTTTATGTTTTAATCCCAATCTAGAAGTCCGAACTCAGATTCCCAACCTCGCTTGCAGCGAGGGCACAGGCCTATGACCTAGGCTCTGTCATTCAGGTACACTCAGGCATGACTTTAATTTGGAAGTGAGTGAGGTGCAGAAACAGGATGTACTTGGAGTTTCCCTCTTTCCTGATGTGAGTGCTGTCAGGAATGACTGTGTGGTGGTAGCGGCAGTGGTGATAGTTTTCTGGAGGCTGCAAGGTTAAAGTCCCAAGGCAGAAGTGGTGTCAGTGCTGGTGGGTGGCAGTGGCAGGTG